ATAGATTCGAGTTTGATGCAGAAGAATGCAATGTTGCCAATGGAAAATGGGTATTTAACAGATCAATAAAGCCTTTATACACAGACAGAAGCTGCCCATATGTAGATATGCAATTCTCTTGTACAAACAATGGAAGGAAGGATTCTCGATATCTCCACTGGGAGTGGCAGCCAGAGGATTGTACCATACCTAGGTGATCATCTCTCTCTCTCTCTCTACACACACACACACACACACACACTATAATAATCCGAACATGCAAGTGAGTGTACAACACTTTATTTCTTAAGTGAATCTTTTTGTGTCTGCCTTCTTGAACTCCAAGCTTGACAAGCTTCAGGTTCTAATGTGATCCGCATTCTGATATGACTATACTTGGTAGATTCGATCCAAAGCTAGCCCTCAAGAAACTTCGGGGAAAGAGGCTACTATTTGTAGGGGATTCACTGCAGAGAAATCAATTTGAATCTTTTGTGTGCATGGTCGAATGGATCATTCCTGATAATCAGAAATCTATGAACGAGGACCGTAACCATCCAGTCTTCACAGCCAAGGTAGTATACAATGTATTGAACTGTAGATTTACAAAGACGAGATATTGGTGATGCTTATCAATATACTGAATTTACTTGATCCTTTGTGCCTGATATGCAGAAATATAATACTACTATTGAGTTCTACTGGGCCCCGTATCTTGTGAATTCCAACACAGATATCCAGATAATTGGTGATCCAAAGAAAAGGATAATAAAAGTAGATTCAATCACAGAGCGTGCCAAAAACTGGACAGGAGTAGATATCCTGGTTTTCAACACCTATGTTTGGTGGATGAGCGGCGTCAGGATTAAGTCTCTGTAAGTTTTATTTCAGCATTTGATGTGTCAACCAAAAGGGACAAAATAGGGTCTCATATATATTTACATTTGTAGATGGGGCTCATTTGCCAACGGAGAAGAAGGGTATGAAGAATTGGATGCGCCAGTGGCTTACAAGTTTGCTTTAAAGACATGGGCTAATTGGGTGGACTCTACTATTGATCCAAACAGAACTAGGGTCTTCTTTACAACAATGTCCCCTACACACACAAGGTTTCTTCTCAGTTTCTCTCTCTAAAAAAAGAAAAAGCTACAGCTTACTTTCTCTAACAATTTATCTCATTTTAAGTCAAATAGCTCTGAGACAGTGCTTCAACACCTAGCGTGGAGAAACTTACAGTTACAATAACATTAATTTCATGTTTCACTGACAAGGTGACTTAGTTGACAAATAGTTGGGTTTCTTAAACATGTTGTTGGGAGTTTAATCCTTGACTATTTGTATGAAAAAGACCTTGTTAAGAGAGATAAAACTCATTTATGTGATTTCTGTGCCAGAAATGGATTAATTTTTGACTATCAGTTGAGAATACCCTTAATACCCAAAAAAAAAAAAATCACTTATTTATTTTTTAGCTCAATTCTTAGGATTTTATATTGTCTGTGTCAGTGTAAAACATTACTTATAACTCAAGCAAATGAAATCAATCTTTTGGAATAGATCTAGCTCCAATTAGGTATAAATAGTAAGTGTATCCTAAATTTTAGGCCAATTTGCCTATGTTTTGGGCCCTCGAGTCAGTTAGACTTGTGCAAGATTTCAAGCCTGCATAGTTCTGAGACAATTCTTCAAATACCTAAAAGTGCAGTGACTACTGCCCTAGAAGCTCTTGATTCTAACAATATGATAACACAGATGTGCGTGCCTTTTGTTTACAGAAGTCAAGACTGGGGCAGGAAGGAAGGATTAAGATGCTTTAACGAAACAAAACCAGTAAGGAAGAAGAACCATTGGGGAACTGGTTCTGATAAGACCATGATGAGTGTGGTAGCCAAAGTGTTGAAGAAGATGAAAGTTCCCGTACAAATCATCAACATCACACAGATATCAGAGTACAGGATTGATGCTCACTCCTCAGTTTACACCGAAAATGGAGGAAAACTATTAACAGAAGAGGAAAGACTTGAGCCTAGCAATGCTGATTGCATACATTGGTGTTTGCCTGGGGTCCCAGATACCTGGAATCAAATATTTTTGGCAATGTTATAACAAATATTAGCATATAGTAAATAAGATCTTTATCTCTGTCTCTCTCTCTCACTAATACCCATTTGATAATCTGCGTAAGGACAACCGTATCTGTAAATAATACCATTTTCAGATAGAAATTTATCAAAATATTTGAAATCACCACCGCCATCAGTTTGAATAGATTTAATTTTAGTGTTTAATTGATTTTTAGTCGTGGCTTTAAACAGAAGAAATACTGGAAAGGCATTTTGCTTACGTTTGAGTGAATATAACCAACAAATGCCATGTTTGGATTAACAGTGGCAAAACTCACTTTTATTCCAACTGACTTTTATAAATTTAAATTAGAATAAAAGTCAGTTAGTGGTGTGATTTATGTTTAGATTGGTATTTATACAAAAATTAGTTGAAAAAGCTAAAACTCATTTGGATGATTAATAAAAAGATAACTTTAGATGTAAAACGGTAAAAAAGGACATGAATTTTATTGAGGAGTAGTATTTTATATTATATGATATTAATATGATAATTTATTTAGTTTGTTTGATCTCTTTAAATTAGTCTATGGGGGTTTTATATTAAAGAGCAGAAATAGTGTATCATATGTATAGAATTTGATAAATTCAAGAAAAATAATACATTAAAACAATTAAATTTTATTAGGTAATTTTTTCTCCTTAAAAAAAAATCAAATTATTGAGTCCAGATTGGACCTATTTAAATACTTTTATTTTTCTTCTCATTCTTGTTATTTTCTCTTTCCTCGTTGCCAACCAAAAAAGCTCAAATTTCAGGTTTGTTTGTAATTGACTTTTTCTCGAAAAGCTCATTTGAGAAAAAGCTTATCCAAACAAGCATCATTGTAAAAATAAGCCACCAATGCTAATTGCATATTGTTCCATGAACATTTGGACTTGCAAACGGTATTCCAAATACACGCAAAATCTTGAAAAATGATCCATAAAGGCAATGTAATAAAGTTTTCCATGAACTGAAAGACAAGGCGCAGCCCCAAAGACCAATTGACACTAATTCAAGTAGAATGTTGTAAAAAGTAGTAGAGAGTGGTGAATTCAGTTTGTGTGCTTTGCCCATGCAAAATGCTAAGCAAAAAGTATTATTGCCTTTATTTGAAAAAGCAAGATTACAACCTTTTAAAAGTAAAGGGAGCATAGCAAAGGGAAAGTGAAGGTGATACATGTGGTGCAACAAAGACAGATTTAAAGTTCTAGAAAACTGAGAGATGTGTGATGATAAAGAACTGGCTTGCAAGTGAGTCAACCATAAAGATGTTGATTTGTTGATAGCATTGATGCCTGAGGGACATTTGCAAGCTTCAACTCACGAGAGATCAAAAGAATCCAATCTCACTTGAAGAAAAAGGATCTCGTTGGGAATCAACAGACGAAATAATTGAATCATATTCAGGGGGAGCCCGTCTAAAATAATCTCAACTTGATCTTTTTTTAACTAACTCAGAAGCCAATTGAAATAAGAGTGTCAGCTAACGATTTTACTCCAAGAATGAACTCAAATATGGTAAGATTTTCCTTCTTAGTATTTTGAGGTTGATATGATATAAGTAATTAATAAAGGGTACATTGGTTATTGGGGCATTATGCTTACCCCTCTTTGTCATTTCCATTATTTTATCGTCTAGTATTTTAATCGAGTGTATGCACCGCTAATGATTAGGACATAATGATATTTTGAAATCTTCTTATTTCTTGAATTTTTCTCTAGTCCCTTCTTTCTAGCTTGACTGTATTGCTATGTGCAAAAACTCGATGGTCCGGTATGGTCCGGTCCAACCCGAACAAACCCGGTCTAGTCCGGTCTAGAAAAAATTAGCCCGAAACAAGATTGGACCAAACTAGTCTCATCGGGCTGGACTGGACTAAGGACTGGCCCCTCAGACTAGTTAGTCCAGTCCAGTCTAGCTCGGTTTTTTTTAATTATTATTTATATAATTTTAATTTGGTTTAATTTTTCAATATAAATTTTTTGTCTATTCAAATAATCAAGATTTATTTATTAACTTCCTAAGTAATGAGTATGCGTATATATTTTCTACAATATAAGATCTATATTAATGAGGATTAATTAATAAAACATGACATTATTGGGAAATTGAAAGAGAATGATTAAATTTGATGAACTTTAGATTAAAATATGTACAAAATTTTATATAGTAAGTTACAATCTTGTCTCCTATTAAAGGAAAAAAAATTTTTAAAAAAATTAAATTTAGATCCTAGATTGCTTGGACTGGTCCCAGCAGTCCAGAGGACCAAGTCCAGTCCAACCCGACCTCGGGTTGGTACTGGACTGGACCAGATCTCGGGCTGTCTTTTTCAGCCCGAGGTCTTTATTGGACCAGACTTCGGGTTGATAACAAACCCAGTCCAGTCTGTTCCATGCACACCCCTAATTGCTAGTATCAGAGCAGCTGTGATTGTGAGAATGGTAGACTGTACAAGGTCTTAGTTGCAGCTTAAGAAGGTAGAAGACAGGCTCCATTCAGATATTGATTGTTGATTTAGTTAACTAAAGTCTCTCCAGAGTTTCCGTGACTAACTCACTGGCATGCTGAGAATCTATAAAACCAAAGTAGCTATGGCAAAAACAATCATCGTAACAGAGATTATCATGCATCGACGAGGTACACTAAACTGAATTTTCCTATCTTTTCTGCTTTCGATGTGGACTCTTGGCTAGCTAAATGCAAGCACTATTCTATTTTGGATAAAAAGCCAGATGCCCCAAAAGCCTTGTTAGCAAGCATAGCACTAGATGGCGATACCTATCACTGGTTCCAACACTTCAAGAAAGAGAGGGGCAGAGAGAAAATTTCAAAACAAGATTTAGAATACCATTATGACTTAATTATTAGCCATGCATACATTCAATTAAAATACTCATGTAGAAATGACGAAATAATGGAAGTGACAAAGAGGGGTAAGCATAATACCCCAAATGACCAATGTACTCTTTCGTAATTATTTATATCATATCAAGTTGTTTTTCATACTAATAGATCCGTGCACAACTGTTTGCATGAAAGAACCTGTGGATGCATTTCCAAGCAGCACTAGAGGTTGAGTTGCCGACCATTTGAGGAAGCATTGAGTCCAAAATGGCGGATTGGAGCCACGAAAGAATCAATTGATTTTGCATGTACTAGAGTGTATGCTCAGGGCAAATAACTCTTGGAATAAGATCTTCAGATGTCTTGAATCACGCTGGAGATTTGGTCTCAAGAAAATGGAATAGGCCGTAACCTCTAACAGCAGATTCTATTTCCTGTTTCTAGATGAGGAAATTATGATCATCAAGTTTGGAAGAAACTGGATGATTGAAAGAAACGAGATTGCCATTCTTTTCGCTTTCAAGAACTAAAAATTTGTAGGGGGATTAAGGGGGAATGGGAGCATAGCCATAGGTAGACGTACTAAAGTTGTGATAGCATGCGAGGTTTTAGAGGTTTTAGAGAAATGAGAGGGAGAAATGGAGAACTGAGTATTTTATATGCAATATCTTAATGTAAATGACTCATCAAGGCTAAACGAAACGAACCGAATGCTAACTAGATACTAATGGAACAATTGCTCTCTACTAATTATTGACAACTATTAGTAATGGATTCAGTTTCTATACTCATCACGTGATGAGCTTTAGATGCTCATCATTTTGAACGACAATAGCATCACTAATTTGAAGCAAGAAGCTTTAATTCAATGAAATGCATGGTTGTTTTAAAACTAGTTTTTTTTAAAAAAAAAATTTTTACCCCAATCTTTAAACACTTCCATAAGTTCTGTTGCCCCTTTCTCTTTAGCCTTTACCTTCTCTACTCTCGTTTAAGCAAGGTACTCCTCTGGTCCTTAATATAAGACCAAATAAATTAATTTAAATAGATTAATGATATTAGTTAAATTAATTAACTTGATATGTTTTTTCTAAAATACCCTAAAAATCTTCATTAATTACTTATCTCCCTTTCCTATTTAATTATTACTTGAGGAATATCAATAAGGTTAAGTTGAAAAAAAATTGATAAACATATGAAATAAGTCTTATATATATAACCAACATCAACTCTCCAACTCTTACACATGGAGGAGCTTTCTACACCATGCTAGTCGAATTACACTGGCCAAATCAATCTTAGCTTCCATACCTTTCTACACTATGCAAAGAACTTTGCTCCCTACAACGTGTTGCCATGATATTGAGAAAATTATTAGAAAGTTCATATGAAGTTATTCATATGATCATCGAGGAATTAGCCTAGTTAAATGGAGTGAGCTTTGCCAAACGTTAAAAAATGGTTGTGGGTTGCTGAATCTTGAATCCCAGAACAATGCTTTTCCATGTAAGCTCATTCACAATACTCTTCCTGTCGTTAATATATTGAGAATTGATATTGATTGTAAGACATATTTCATGTCTCGGTCATGGTGCTCTTATTTTTGGCGAAATCTGTCCAAACTTCGGCAGATACTTATTTTCACATTAAATGGAATCCGGGTGATGGTACAAAAATGAAATTCTAGTCAAACTATTGGATTAATGATTATGGCCCTTTGAAGCACATTTCTTCTGCTGCTCCTATTAGTGACGCTAATCTCTCTAAGACAATATCAGACTACGTCGATGAAAATGGTTGTTGGAATTGGAACTTATGTCACCATCTTCTACCTCAGAATATTTTGCAGGAGATATCTGAAGCTACTTTGGATAGAAATCCAAAAGAACCTTTGTGCTCTTGGAACCTAACATCAACGGGAAAATTCACAATTAGATCAGCTTATTGAGCATTAGAAGCCCCAAAATGGAACAATGCAAAACATATTTGGACACAATTATGGAAGCTTCCTATGTCTTAACATGTTTGGAACAGAAGACACTGATCATGTCTTTAAAGACCTTGCCCCATGATCTGCGAATTGACTTCTTTGGTCACAACTTAGTGTCTTGGATGGAGAAGATGCTGCTCAACTCAAAACTGGACATCTCTTGGAAAATTGGTTTTTGTATTGTTCGTTGCAAGCTTTGGGAAGTTCGCGATCATTGCATTTTTGCATATGAATTTTATACAACAGAAGGAATTTTGACTCACATTAGAGTTACCGTTAACCCCACTGTACAGAGCTGTACTACCTATAGATTTCCTTTTGTGAATGTTCTTAACCTCCTCTGCTTTTGTACAAATTTTGCATTAATGAAATCCTTCCTTCCTATTTAAAAAAAAGAAAAGGATAATAAAAGTAGATTCAATCCCAGAGTGTGCCAAAAACTGGACAGGAGTAGATGAGTCCGCATGCTCATCCCCCACACGGTGCCCCTCTCTCTCTTTTTTTCGCTTTTTTTTAAAATAATTTTTATTTTTTTATTCGTTTTACCTAGATTAAGTGTATTTAATCTCCTGAAACATTTTATAGCAGCACTCAATATTTTAAGGGAAAATTGCAAATAAAGACTGTGGAATATATAAAATTGTGATTTGGGTTCTTGAATTTATATAATTGCTGTCAGAGACCCGGTCCCAAATAGGAATTATGAAATGTTAGGTCAAAGACAAAAACGCCCTTCTGCTTTTTTGCAGTCCCTTGTCTACATGCCCTAACTTTATCTTTCTTCACTTTCCAAGTCATCTCCCTCTTTCTTCACTCTCCGACTCGTCTCCCTCTTCTTGATGATGAACCATACAAATCTCTTGAAGAAATTGAGGCTAACACCATTAGAAATCTCCTTCCTGATGAAGATGGTCCATCTTCTGGTGTTTTTGATGACTCGAGTTTCAATAATTTACCAAAACTGGTGATAACCTGGAAGATTTTGATCTGTTTGGCAGTGGTGGAGGTATGGAACTGGAAGGCGATGAACATCTAACTATAGGAAAAGGGGCCAATGGTCCAGATAAAGATCCTAGTTGCTTCGGACGTTTTAAAGGGAAACTTTCTTTTGTTGAACATTCTTCTAGAACAATTTTTGTTAGAAACATTAATAGCAATGTTGAAGATTCTGAGCTAAAGACTCTCTTTGAGGTGCTTCTTTATTGTTTTACGTTGATAGATGCTATGCTAGAATTCTTAGAAAGCATTTTAGACTTTGAATCTTATAAAAAGTCAATGCAATTTCTTGTTTGTTTTGACAGTAATATGGTGATGTCTGAACCAAGTTTGATAAGTTGTTGAAAATAACAAATTGACAAGTTCTGATACCCACTTCACGACAAGTTCAGTAATGCGAATAATAAGTTTAGGAAGGCAAATAACAATTTCTGATAAGCAATTCATAGAAATTCGAGTTTCTGTGTTAAGATGACAGCATTTTTATATTTCTTTAGTAGATGACAAGTTATGATACACAATTCATGACAAGTTCAGTAAGGCGAATGACAAGTTTAATAAGGCGAATGACAACTTCTGATAAGCAATTTATAGAAATTTGAGTTTCTATGTTAAAATGACAGGTTCTCATTAGGTTTTCATACTTTTTCTGTTAAAATGATTGGATTTTCACATTGATTTATCAAATGACAGGTTCACAATAGAAAATGACAAGTTTCCATAAGATTTTCATACATTTTCATACTATTTTTGGCTGGAATTGCAATTTGCATATTTCTGATAGCAACAACTTCTGATAAATATGAAATGACAAGTTTATAATGAAAAATGACAAGTATGGTAAATGACAAGTTTCCATAATGTTTTCATACTTTTTTCTGTTAGAATTATAATTTTCACATTTCTAACAGCACCTACTTTTGATAAACACGAAATAACAAGTTCATAATGAAAAATGACAAGTTAAGTATGGCAAATGACAAGTTTTCATAATGTTTTCATACATTTTCATACTTTTTCTGCTAGGATCACAATTTGCACATTGCTGATAGCAACCACTTTTGATAAACAGTAAATGACAAGTCTACAATAGCGAATGACAAGTTAAGTATGTAAAATGACAAGTTCCATAACATTTCCATACAATTGTAAATTTTTCTATTAAAATAACAATGTGCAGATTTCTGGCAACAAACACTTCTGATAAACAGTAAATTACAAGCCCATAATAGCGAATGATAAGTTAAGTATGTAAAATGACAAGTTCCCATCACGTTTTCATACAATTGTAAATTTTTTTGCTGAAATAACAATGTGTAGATTTCTGACAGTAACCACTTCTGATTAACATCTTTTATCATCAATTTCACCTCTCATTTCCTCCTAATGTATAAAACTATAGCACCAGAACTCTCATAAGCCCCTCAAGAAGCATGCTCATATCAACACCAGCGGCAAATGCACTATGATGATCATATCCACTCACAAGTGCATCCTCAACCATGAAATCCCAAATGTAAATTGTCATATCATATGAACAAGAAACCATCAAATTCTACATATAAGGTGAGAACTTTATTCATTTAGCACTGTATTTAAGGCTCGTTTGTTTCTCACATCCCACACCTTGATCGATTTATCCACCGAAATACAATCATCATACTTGATTTCTACAATTTAGAGCTTTTTTGCAATTATCAGAAGTTGGTGCTGTCAGAAATGTGCAAATTGTAATTCCAGCAGAAAAAGTATGAAAATGTATGAAAACGTTATGGGAACTTGTCATTTGCCATACTTAACTTGTCATTTTTCATTGTGAACTTGTCATTTCGTGTTTATCAGAAGTGGTTGCTGTCAGAAATGTACAAACTGTATTTCTAGGAAAAAAAAGTATGAAAATCTTGTGGAAACTTGTCATTTTCTATTGTGAACCAGTCATTTTCATAAATCAATGTGGAAATTCAGTCATTTTAACAAAAAAAGTATGAAAACCTAATGGGAACCTGTCATTTTAACAGAGAAACTCAAATTTCTATGAATTGCTTATCAGAAGTTGTCATTCGCCTTACTGAACTTGTCATGAATTGTGTATCAGAACTTGTCATCTGCTAAAGAAATCTGAAAATGCTGTCATTTTAACACAGAAACTCGAATTTCTATGAATTGCTTATCAGAAGTTGTTATTTTCCTTACTAAACTTGTTATTCGTATTACTAAACTTGTCGTGAATTGGGTATCAGAACTTGTCAACTTGTTATTTTCAACAACTTATCAAACTTGTTTTTTAATTATGAACAGAAGCTGAAAATTAAAATAGAAATGAAGAATAAAAATCCAGATTTGTTGGGCGTTGTCTGAGCACCAAGCAATCATCGCACACTTGCCGTCGTCGCTGCAACCATCTTCGACTTCAACGCAGAACTCGGTGACAAACTGGAACCCAATTCCCTACTGAAGCTAGGCTTCAACAATATCCAACGGGAGTCTTGTTGAGCTTAATTATTGTTTCCCTTGGCATCCTTCTTCTAAGTCCTGTTATTCACTTGCTTTGGGAGAAGGAACAAAGAAGATGACAGAGGGAAAAGAGAGAATGAGAGAAGTTGGGGGAGATGGGGTTAAGGACAAGGAAGTGGGACTGGAGAAGAAGGAGAAGGAAGGGGAATGAGATGAGGAGGAGGAAAAAGAAGCACGGAGAGAAGGATAGAGGAGAAGAAAAGGAAAGAGAAGGAGAGGATAAGATGAAAAAAAGACAAGGAGAAGCAGAAGGGTATTTTTGACTTTTAATCAACATTTCATAATTCTTATTTGGGACCGGGTCTCTGACAAGCATTATATAAATTCAAGGACCCAAATTGCGATTTTGTATATTCCACGGTCTTTATTTGCGATTTCCCATATTTTAAATCAATTGATTTTTAATACATCCACTATATTTTTACAGTAGAAACGAGTATCTCAAATTAATTAATATTTAATACATCTAAATTCTGAAATATTTTTCAGTAACACTCAGTATCCTAATTAATTAATTTTTAGTACATTCAGCAATTTGAAATATTTTTTCAGTACCACCAAGTATTATAAATTAATTATTTTTTTAGTACATCCAATATTTTGAAATATTTTTACAACAGGACCCAGTATTCTAAGTTAATTAATTTTAGTGCATCTAGCATGTTGACGTATTCTTTCACCAACACTCAGCATCTCAAATTAATTATTTTTTTACTCTATCTAATATCTTGAAGTATTTTTCTTGTAATACCCACTATTATAAATTAATTTTTAATGCATTCAACACCCTAAAGTATTTTTCTAATAACATTCACTAATTGAAAAAAAAAGTCTAATATACTAAAAATTAATGAGCTTGGAATATTGAGTGTTATTAAAAAATATTCTAAGATCCTAAATACAAGTTAATCCAAATAAATAAAAATGATGTAAAAATTTTATGAAAAAGGGAGGAGGAGGAGGTTTCTCATCCGTAAACCCTGCTCATCGAATATTGAGTGGGGAATGCGGATTCGTTGATATCCTAATAAGGCCTATCCAGATTAAAATAGTGATACCTTCTTCTAGTTAGGGTCTGATCCAAATTAAATTGGGACTGACTGATATTGTTTTTTGTTTTGTCAGCGGACTGATTAATAACATGAGATGTTGGATGGTTTATTATAAAAAAAAAAATCAAATATTAGATATATTTTATGAGTGAAATATAAGTAAGTATATATTCAGTTTTTTAGGAATAATTTAGATTCCGTTTAATATACACATATGAGTCACATTTCTATAAAAAAATTTTTAACTTATTTAATTAATTAATCTGCTTCGGGCCAGGTCAAAAATGTTAAGTTGCTTCTACTCCTCTATCTATAAATATATACTCCTCCGGTCCTAATTATAAGACCCAATTGACTTATTTGAGAAAATTAAGGAAGTAAGTTAAGTTGGTTATTTATAATAAATAAGTGTTGTCGTTCCTAAAATATCCTTACTAATTAAGTATATTGGCTAAAACTATCATTATTAGAAGGATTATCTTGAAAAAAAATGCATAAATATAAGAGACAAAATGGATTGGGTCTTATAATTAGGACCAAATAAAAAGTCAAATTGGGTCTTATAATAAGGACCGGAGGAGTATAATACATCCCAGTTTGTATTAATAGTAATTAAGTAGTAAGTATAATACGTTCTTAGAAATATTTTAGTAAAAAGACAATGATTGCAGGTGTGTACTGTGTAATACACCTCTAGTCTTATTTATAGGATTGAAGAAATTCTTTTAGTCCTATTAACAAGTCATTTTATTAAATTTTTAACACAAATATACTATTTTATCCTAGATATTTATTATTTTTAAAAGATGTATATATTAAATAAGAAAAAATTTAAAAAAAATTATATTTTAATAAAAAATTATTGCAGATTAAAATTTTTCTTGATACGTATAAAATATATTCAAAGTACTTTATAAATAAGACGAGAAGAATATACATGTTAGTTTTAATACTATCTTGAATTAAAAAAAAGTAAGCCTGCTGACATGGCCGAGCAACAAAAAGAAGTAGGGAAAATTGCACCAAAGTTCTATTTAAGAGAATTAAATACAAAAAATTCTTTTAAATAATCAAATTATTCAGAAGTCCCAATAATTTTATTGCAAGAAAATTTATTTGTTTAATTACCAAATTATCCTTATTTTTTTTAAGTTTGTATTGACAATTATAAGAGTAGTTATTGATAATTTAAAGTGTGAGGATTAACAATTGTCACGGCAGGTATTGATAACTCACATATTGTGATGTGCCGAAAAAATATGTTGTCAATACTTGCCGTAATAGTTGTCAATTTTTATATCTTAAATTATCAATAATTGCTTTTTCAGTTATCAATACAAACTTAAAAAAAATAAAAACAAATCAGTAATTAAATAAATAAAATTTATTATAATAAAATCTCTTAAAATTTTAAAACAATTTAATAATTTTAAGATACATTTTTATATTTAATTGGGACGTTATTGCAATTTTTTTAAAGAAGTAACTTGCGAACACGATCCCCCAACTCTAACTTCGGGAAGCTTCTAGTTTCTGTGTCTGTGACCGCCAATTCTGCAGCCTTTCTTCAGCGCCTTCTGCCATTTATCAGTCCAATCGATTCTGCGATCCCTGTTGGAGGTTCTCAGCTGATTACTGTGATTCCTAGCGCTTTATACGCAGCGAATAAAATTCCGGGACAATCGATCTCTTCGTGCACAAGTTTGTGTCTCCCCGCTTTCCTGCTATAAAGTCGTTCCCTTATTTCTCTGATTTTATCGAAACTGTAAATTGAAGCGAGGCAAACATGGCTGGTGGTGGGAATTTTATGCACAGGGTCATCTCCTACGTGGTAAATGAATTGGTGGTCAACAGTCTTGCTAACAGGTACCAGTCCATCCAATTCTTAATTTCGTTTTGCTTGATACGCACGTTTTTTTTTATTTTAAATTATTCTAAGCTTCTTTGAAATTGGTTCGTCTCCATTTAGCGAGTAACCATGAAACTGCGAAGTTGTGTGATGCCAATAGAGACTTGATTGGTTTGTAAGATGAGGGACTTCATGGGATTCTCTTGCCATCATAGGTTTTTCATGACACGGAGATAATTTGTACTTTCACCAGGTGTTATAAGTTTTTTATGATAATATTCTAATCGCCAGAAAGTTAACAAGGTGGATTCAATTCACGTTGTGCTTGAATTTATGGGTCTGTTGTTGATTCCAACATGTCTTTGTTGTAAGATTGTTATTTTACGTGATCATCGGATGTTTCAATTGGCTGGAGCTTAACTTTTGGGGCTCTTAAGTTAGGACGAACCATTACCTGACCTGATAGCTTTGTTCACTTTAATCACTGACCTTCGCATTGATTTTTCAGGCTAACAATGATCTCAATTTCATTTTTTGAAATTATTTAAATTACACTGGCAGTATAACATTTCATTCATGGCAATATATGATGTTTGGACACTTTCCCCGGTTTCATGTTGAATATTCTAAGACTGAAGTTGGTACGTGTTTCCAAGTTTTTGATAGCTGAGCCATGAAGCATGTCTTAGAATGGATGTGGTATATGTCTGTGTTTTTTTTTTTTTTGGGGAAAAAATTAGTGATCAATCAATAAATCATGCTTTAATATGTTGTAACGTTATCCTTTTCCAAGCTCTTGACTACTGCTTTCTTGTAAACGTTGCCAATATGTCTCTGGAGACTTGCAAGACCACAGAGATCTTCCTGCCCACAGTTATCAAGCGTTGTTGCGTGGGATGTTTGTTTTTTACAATCAGTTCATTGATGGAAGCTTCACGAATATCGTTGATGGAAGCTTCAGAATTAGGCTTTCAGGACTGACTGTACCTGACAAGCTTGCTCCCTGAAGCACGAGTCTCAAATTCTCTAGTTATCTGCAGTGTAATGCACTGCTTCATTCACTGCAGTGTAGAGTTTGAGAAAATCTTTTTTCCTTCATGGTGAGTATTCAAGCGATGAGGTTAGTATGCATTTCCAGTTGCTTGAGCAAGCTAATCATGGAGCCAGTCTTGGAAATAAATATTCGTGGAAGGCTTTGATTTTACAATCAGCTTGTTGACTGATGCTTCACATTTAGGCTGTCAGGACTGACTGACAAGCTCCCTCCCTGGAGCAAAATAGTCTCAAATTGTCTAGTTATCTCCAGTTTAGTGCTTCGTTCACTGCAGTATAGACTTTGGGAATACTTTCTCTTTCGTGGTGAGTATTTAGGGGCAGAAGTGGGCATGCATTTCCAAGTGCCCGGGATAGCTAATCATGGAGCCAGTCGTGGAAATAAATGTTTGTGGAAAGCTTTGTATTTACAGCTTGTTGACTGAAGCTTCACGTTTAGGCTGTCAGGACTGACTCTACCTGACAAGCTTGCTCCCTCAAGCGAAAGAGTCTCAATTTCTCTAGTTATCTCCAGTGTAATGCTTCATTCACTGCTGTATAGGGTTTGAGAATTTTTTTTCCTTCGTGGTGAGTAATTAGGGGCCGAAGTTGGCATGCATGTCCACTGGCTTGACAAAGCTAATCATGGACCCAGTCTCGGAAACAATGGAAGACTTGTTTTTACATTCAGCTTGTGGACTGAAGCTTCATGATTGAGCTTAAATATTTGTCAAAAGCTTGTTTTAACAGATAGTTGATTGAAGCTTCACGTTTAGGCTGTCAGGACTGACTGTACCTGACAAGCTTGCTCCCTGAAGCAAAAGAGTCTCAATTTCTCTAGTTATCTGCAGTGGAATGCTTCATCACTGCAGTATAGAGTTGAGAATATTTTTTCCTTCATGGTGAGCATTGTGGTGCTGAAGTTGGCATGCATGTCTGGTGGTTTGACAAAGCTAATCATGGACCTAGTCTCGGAAACAATGGAAAGCTGGTTTTTACAATCAGCTTGTGGACTGGAGCTTCGTGATTGAGCTGTCAGGACTGATCATACCTGACAAGCTTGCCACCTGAAGCAAAAGATTCTCAAAATTTTCTAGTTATTTGCAGTGTAATGTTTCATTCACTGCAGTATAGAATTTGAGAATATTTTTTTACGGGCTATAGTTGGTATGGTGTTTGAGAAGCTAATCAGGGGAGCCAGTCTTGGAAATAAATACTTGTGAAAAGCTTGTTTTAACAATCACCTTGTTGACTGAAGCTTCACGTTTAGGCTGTCAGGACTGAATGTACATGGCAAGCTTGTTTCCTGAAGCGTAAGAGTCTGAAATTCTGTAGTTATCTGCAGTGTAATGCTTCTCCCACTGCAGTTTAGAGTTTGAGATTTTTTTTCTCTTTTCATGACGAGTATTTATGGGCTGAAGTTGATAAGCATTTCCAGGTGTTTGACAAAGCTAATCATGGAGCCAGTTCTAGAAACAAATGCTATGTGTTGATATCTATTGTACAACAAAGAACAGATACTTCAAAAAATGGGTCTAGTTTGTGTTTGGTTACACGAGTTGGCTGTCGAACGCCAACAGAACGGTATCTAAATAGCACCTGTATGGCATGGTTTTGGTAGTCTCCACTCCCATGCTCCCTTCCACTTCTGCAATGTTGAGCATTATTAAGCATTTTGCTTCTTAGCTTGATTGTGTTGTGTGCTATGTGATGCTATAAAGGCATATCGGGGCAACTATAACTATATATTCCTCATTGCAATCTGGATTATGGAATTCTTATTCCGGTTTTATACGGCAAGTTGGTAATTAATTAGTATTACTTCTTACTTCGTCTCATGTTGATGTTTATTTGTGGATTCTTAGCCCTGCATTTCAGAGATTTGCTGTGAGGACGTCAAAGAAAATCGAGGATGTTGCAAGTAAAGGTACAAGTAATAGCAAAATACCGACCCTTGTTGGTTTTTCGCCAGTTGTATTAACTCAAATGCAAATTCTTTGTATTCTAACAGGAACTCAAATGAAGGAGGGTGTAGCTGAGCTGTTCAAGGACGTCTCTAAAGATATGGAGGTAGCTTATATATTGCTATTTTATATTATATATTGCCTAGACTTCTGATTTACTTTGTCAAGGAACATGTTGGTTCTTTTGTCTAGTAACAACTAATGTACAAAAGATTCGTTATTCTGAGAAGTGAAAAACCATATTGTCTATGTACTAATATTGGAGAATTGCGTTAAGGGTAAAAACTATATTTTGTGAGTTTTGCTGTTACATAGAGCTTCTTTTTATTTTCAAACCTTGCACAGACCCGTTTAATAATGATTTTTTTTTTTTTTGGGGGTACTGCCAGTCGTTTAAGAAGCAGTAGGTGGTGAAGATGGAACGACAACTTCCTTAACCTCTGCCTCGGATTGTGCTGGTGGAGACAGACAAGCCTTCCTCGCCATCTCTATTTTTTTTTTTTTTCCCTTTTAATTTAAGTTTGGGTTGCTTATTTCTTGTGATCCTCCAACTCACCAGGAAGTAGTTCATGCTGCCTTGTTTTGTCATCTGAGAAAGAAGTTTCATGGGTATATTAGAAGTTCGGAAGAAGGATATGCCTGAGTGATTCCTTTATGTATCTGAAGTTCCGTTGTGTATCTTGTTCCAGTTCCAATTATCAAAGAAGAGGTTAGAAACTCGAATCTAAATAAATGCGAATCTCAGCTCAGTCACATTTGAGGTCTGAAGATGTGTTTAAAGACATTCCTTTGCTATAAAGCTTACTCAAATTCAAATTAAACCGATAACATCGAGTTTTTTTCATTAAAATTCAATATTATCATCATTTATGCTCTAATAACTAGAATGACAAATATTCTAATATAAAACTGGTGAGATTTATAAACAAAAATTAAATGGTAATAATAATATTGAGCATTAAATGTTATATGAAATATAAGTTTGGTCAAGTTGAAATTTAACCTCATCAATGAGGTTATAAATCACAATGGCTCTCTTTTAAAAAAGAAAGCAATTAGATGAAAATAAAAGGGGAGTAGAAGATGATTAAACAACCATCTTCTTTAAAAATGATCTTCAAAAAATTGTGGAGTTATTAAAAAATGTTTTATATTATTTTTTTTCTGATAAAGTATTTATTACTTTGGTTCTAATTATAAGACTTCATTTATAGGACCGGAGGTAGTATATGATTAATCAATATAGTAATTATATAATATAGCAATAATAATAGTAGCTTCATAAAAATTTATCAAATTGAGAAAAAAAAAAAGGGAGAATTATAATTAAGTTCCAAAAGAATAATTACTGACCTAAGCTACCCATAATGATAAAAAACGATAAATTTTAAAACTTAATTTATATTTTTTTAATCTCATTGTAATTCTTTCAAAAAATAATACTCTTCTTGTCATTAATATAGGACATATTTAACTATTTTGATTAAATTAAAAAAAATTAGTTAAATTAGATAATAATCATAAATATGGCATATGTTTTCTAAAATACTCTCAGTTAAAACTTCTTTAAAAAACTGACATTTCAAAAAATATTTTAATTATTTTATTAAAAATATAAAAAGGTAGAATGCATGTATACGTGCAATTAATGAGTAATAAGCAAGGAACAAAAACCGGACCGGACACTAAACCGGTTGAGGTAGTGGTTCAAGGGTTAATGGGTCAGACCGGGGTCAACTCGGGATCAAACCGGTCATATTAAAATAATTTAATTTAATTAAAAATGACAAAATATAACAATAATAATAATTACTAATAACAAAATATAAGAAATACAATAAGATTTGATTGTAATAATAATAAAGTACAACAATATTGAGATTTTGATCTTTATAATTTTTCCATAACTAAAATTAATAGTTATTGATGCCAAACTCATCATCAAAATTCATTTAAATCTATAATAATTGAGATATTAGGAGTTAAATGAGAAAAAATAGGATAAATATCAATATATTTATTTAAAACGGTTCAATACCGGTTCATACTGGTTTTTAAGACCGGTTTTCCACCGTTTGACCGGTTCAATCCGGTTTGAAACCGGTCCCCGGTTAGCTTATGAACCGACCGGACCACTGACCGGTTCACCGATTTACGGTTGAACCGGCCGGTCCGGTCCGGTTTTTTTTTTACACTGGTAATAAGTCCTTACTCACTTTATAAAATACATAGATATATTATTAATGAGTAATAACTATTATTGTGGTATTTAATTATTTAATAGGAAATAATTTAAAAAGAATTATATAATATAAAAAAATAAGCTTTATATTTAGAATTAAAATTACCTTCAATTAATCTTATATTAAGAAGATAAGGAGTATATCAAAATAAATAGCAAGATACTACTACTAAGAGGGGTTTGGCAACCTCCAAACTATAGTTTCAAAATATTTTTTCTGTAAATAAAATAAATTCTTATACATGTTTATTTTGTAAACTGTAAAAATATTTTTTTAAAATATAGTTTGGTATTTGTCAAACACCTTCCAAGTCCAACACCGCCAACCTGGTGGCCGGTGCCCGTCGAATTATGTTAAACCCTTTCTGTCTTCGAGGCCTGAGGTTTAAGGTGGTGTTTTGTTACGCAAAGAGTTCGACTTCTTGTTTGTCCAAACTCCAAAGCAGAGTACAACTGATGGCGACTATAATATCGAGCAAGTCCAACCAATTTCGCTGCGTTGGTCGCATTCTCTATTCGCAGATTCTTCACCAGAGCAGATCCACTACGCTTTCATCACACCGCCATCTCCATCTCCCAGGCATCTTCATTCTTCGAATCTCCCACTCCATCAGCTGGTTTGATTTTCTCTATTCATTGATAAATTCCTGTTGAAAAACTTTATTTTGATTACTAGGAGGAATATCAAGTTCTCTTCTTTCGTTCTTGGCCGAGTCGTTCTTCTTTGACGTGTATTATTTCAGTTTAGTTGTATTTATTGGCTATGAATCTCTCTTTATCTCGTAATCGTAGGTTGGACCTCAAGGTTATGGTAACGGATATTTGGTGTTATGTCAGAGATTTTTATCCAGTACTGCGGCTGGTAATGCCAATCAAGAAAACTCATCATCCAATAGCTCCGCGAAAGATAATTCTGACCAAGGAAAAGAATCTGGGGAATCGAATCAGAAGGCGGATGCTGGAAAGCCCGTACGTGGAGGAGTAAGTATCTATTCCTCTAATTCTTCATGCTTTTTTTCTGTCATGACCCAATTGAAAACCGGGGGATTTGATTTCTATTGCGAAAGTATGTTATTCTAATGCAGGTATTGTATGAATCTTAATTCTGTGACCACTTTCCTAATGTGTTAGAACTGGAGTATGGCTCTTTCATGCCATCTTCCATTTGTTGGATATCATTTATTTGGGCGATTATATAGTGTTTTATTTTTCATATAATAACAAACCACTCCCGGACTTTGAACAATCTACAACTTATGCATTTGGGAATTGGGATAAACCGATTTAGGGCACTTATGAGCTGGTTACGTTGTGATTTGCAGCCTGTTTCATGGTTGAGCTTTCTTTTACTGGTTGCCACTGGAGCTGGGCTGATCTACTACTATGATAGGGAAAAGAAGCGTCACATTGAAGGTAGATTACTATGGTGAGTTGAGTGTTTTCTAGTTATGACTGTGGAAGTGAACTATGTTGACATACATCTCTATTAAATGTCAAAAAACTTTAACAAAGCATTTTTAATCGTTGTTTAGCTTGACTTACTTTTCCTTTCTTTGATTGTGTTTGTATTTTGTGGGCTGCTGCAACATGGATTGAAAAGTTTGGATTTAATTGGATGGGCTGATGGGGAAATTTAAAATGAATGTCTGTACTCTGTACAATGCAAATGTTTCCCAAGTAACTCTGCCTTAAGTTTGTAATGAGGATCACTTCATAAAATATTGAATAAATAGATGTAGCGTGCAAGTAGGTAGAAAGAAATATTGCTTTATGAAATGCATGCTTCCTCCCAGTTGAGCTGGAAAGTGTTTTTAGTTACAGCTGGAAATGGTTATTCAGCACAGACGTGTCCTCCCTTCTTAATGCCTTTCGGTTTTGTCATGTGCGCTCCTACAGATTTAGTAGGGAGAAAATTATGCAAAATACCATTCATTGATGAAGGACATATAATTAAATTGCTTAATTGTATTCATCTGAGAAAGGCAATATATACAAATAGGAGGAGCCTTAGTCATTATGGCTCATAAACACCAATCATGCTATGACTGTGTTCTTGCAACATACTACACTGTCTACAATAAATGAAAGAACATCTCCTATTATCTTTTATTCTAACGATTAAAAAGTTGGAGTTAAGTTGTGTCTCTGTCCCTGCTTTAAAATAAACTTCATTCTTTAACTTGCAAGATCACTATGATGCTAAACCTTGAGGTGCGCTGACTGTTGCAGCTACGCTGTATATGACATAATTAACCTTGGATTGCCCCTTTTATGTACAGTATGCATGTCCTTGCACAGCTGCAGATTATTTGTTATCTGCAAAAAGCATCCTTCTTTCTTGGAACATGGCACACTGGTTGAAAAATAATTAGATCAGTGCATTTTCCATTTTCTTAAAATTTCTTTTAGTTGATTGTGTGCCATACATACTGTGAGTGTTTGAAGAATCATGGATTAATTTCTTTTATTGTTGTTCCTTGTTTAAATTTAACTTTCTTTAATGTAGAAATAAACAATGCTTCAAAGGCAGTTAAGGAAGGACCTTCTGCTGGGAAAGCTGCCATTGGGGGTCCATTCAATCTGATCAACCATGATGGGAAGCGTGTAACTGAAAAGGACTTCTTGGAAATTGGACACTTATATATTTTGGCTTTACTCACTGCCCAGATATCTGTCCAGATGAACTGCAAAAACTAGCTGCTGCAGTTGATAAAATAAGTAAGTTGTGACTTGCCAACATTTCTATTTGATGACAATGAGATGTTAAATCTACTCAAAGTGTGGCATTGCAATGATTTGTGAGTTTCTATCTTATGTGCTGGCATGAACCTTCGCTTTAGTTGTGATCCTGTGATGCGGACCTGATGATAATTATATTTGTCTCTTATTATTTCCTGCAGAGAAGAAATCTGGAATTGAAATTGTACCGGTTTTCATTTCAGTTGACCCTGAGAGGGATACTGTTGAACAAGTACGTGAATATGTCAAAGGTACTTGGGTCATACGTCATACAATACATTTTATAAAGTTGCGTATAAAGGAAGCTAAAAGAAGAATAAGTAAATAAGATTGGTTAGTTATGCTTGTTTTTTCTAATATTTTGTCTTAATTGTATATGTCAGAATTTCATCCAAAGTTGATTGGATTAACTGGTAGCTCAGATGAAATAAAAAATGTTGCACGTGCTTATCGTGTTTATTACATGAAGACAACAGAGGAAGACTCAGATTATCTCGTTGATCACTCCATAGTTATGTATGTATTATTCCTAACTTTAACGTATGCTGGATCACATTTTACATAATTAAATGCCCACGCTTTATATCACGAGTAAAAGTTTGATATTTTTGTTATTAAAAATGAAAGTCTTTCCTGTATCACCTATTCTTAACTGCTGATGGTTCTAGACCTAGTGTTCTACTATTTTTCTCCATAATTAATTGTATGATCCAGTAATGTATGCCTCTTAGTAGGATGATTTTTGTTGAATATTAATCTTTTATAACATGGGATTTCTATTCAGGTACTTGATGGGGCCTAACATGCAGTTTGTAAAATTCTTTGGGAAGAACAATGATGTTGATTCTCTTACTGATGGTATAATTAAAGAGGTCAAGAAGTACCGAAAATAACTTCCAAACCTGTACCACTCTGAAAACGTGGCCTCATGATATACCGGCTTCTTTTCCCTTTGAGGTGCTTCTAGAGAACTGAGTTTCAAATAAGCAACTTGCTTGATGAAAAATGTTTTTAGATGTTGCCATTATACTTCAAAATTTTGAGATATAATAAAGATTAAATGTAAAGATCTTGTTACTCATGTGGATCTGGAGATCCAATGGTATCGGAATTGTCATATTCACCATTGTATTGGCCTTGTTTTATTGTGAGAGATCTTGTGGTGAATTTACTAGATGTTACGCGTAGTGAGAGCCTACATTTTAATTGAGAATCACTTTTTGCCCTTTTTCCATTGGATATAATTACTTAATGCAAAAGTACACTTTCTTTCTTTGGAATATGAGGGAAAGGCAACAGCCTTAAGAAAAAGATAACCCAACAAATCACTCCGCCTGTAAGCTTATTTGACAGATCATGGCTCATAACATTTCTACATTCAGTTGTTGGTTTCGACATGGTCCTCATATCTGCGTCTATTATTATGAGCATATAATGAACAAGCCAGTTGAGCATATTTGTTGGCTTCTCTAAACATGTGATCATGCGTCATAATTCAGGAAAAAAAAGAGACAAACTTCATGCATTATTTTTAAGAAAAATTATCTTTTGCTTTTTAAAATTTTGACTTAGTTCCTGAATTTTTTACTTTTGAAAATTAGTACTTAATCTTTCTATCATTTATAATTTTGTCCTTCTCGTCCATAATTCATCGTGAGTCAGCACAAAATCATCCTATGTGGGTTAAATGACCTGTTTGGTTTTTCAATTGAGAAATGTATTTTTGAGTTATTTCCCGCAATATTTTTACGGAAACGCAGAAACAAATAATCAGAGGAAGTCGTACTGTCACCCTTATTATTGTTGTGGTTACTGTGCTCATAACTAAAGAGAAATTACTGTACATCGATTGTAATAAATATGGGATCAAAATTTTTCAGAGCTATCTATTCAACGCGTGTAATTATTATGAGATCAATTTATTTTGATCACCAAGCCCAAAATATCTCGCTACGCTAAATTGCCTTGTAGCTGTGGGAGTTGGACGATTGATTTAGTACGGTGTTCTCGCGGGTGGCCATGTCCTCCGAGAAGTGCCATAAATTCTTCAGCCTTGGTGTGTGTATGTTTGTATCAGACACAACTGTTAACTTGGATGGGGTTATCTGAATTTCGTCATCTCTTTTGATGCTGACGACCGGGAGCTCAATTTAGACCTGTAAAGCTATAACCCAGAACAGATTCAATCAACTTCGGATCAACTTGGAAACTGACAATACTAAACGATCCAGGTAAACAAATACACGAATAAAAGAATGCTTAATATAGACCACATTCCAAGAACTGCCTCTTATCCTTAATATGAGAACTAATTAATTAATTTGAGTAAATTAACGAAATTTGTTAAGCTAATTATTTGTAATAAATATGTCATCTTCTCTATAATACCCATACTAATCATATGTATTAGGTTAAACTATTATTTGATAAAACATTTAACATATGTAACTACTATAAGAATTATTGAAAAAAATGAATAAATATAAGAAACAAAGTGAATTTCAGTCTTATATTTAAAACCAATTTAAATGTCAAACTAGATCTGGTTTTACTAAATTAATAAGTTATATTTTCATTGAAAAACTTGATAATAAAGATTTTGAAATCTGTGTTCGCCCAAAAAAAAAATAGGAAAGAAAATTCCTTGGAACGGTGTCTCTAGTTGGTCCAAAGGGAAGCATGGATATATGACCTGTTCAAAAGTTGGGGTTGCTCGAAGCAAGGACGGAGCACGTGTCTCTAGGCATATTATACGGCTATTTCGGAGGCGATGGCCTTTCCTAAGTGAACCTGTTGCATCTCTCCTCTCCAAATCTGCAAGGACAGAAATCACATGAAGCTGCTTCACAATTGACTGAGATCATGTGATGTGTTTTTGAAATATATGCAACAATAATAATGGATCTTTAAATTTTGCTTCACTAATGTAGTTTACCAAACACACGCACCCCTTTTTCTTTAGATAACTTGTTTCAGCGTTGTTTGAAGGAGAATATAGTGCAAATTATTAAACCAAATAACGTGGGAAGTTGGCAAAAAAAAGATAGATAAATAGTTAGATATGGCCAAGCATTATCAAATCCATACCGTGTCTCGGAATTCTATCCGAATGTGAGGAACATTAGTTTTGTGAATGTCGTTTCCATTAGGCCCCTTTTCGTAATACTCCTTGCCAATCCAATGTGACTGAAAATAATGAACTGACCCATCAGTCTGCATCTATGGATTACGTACAGTCATCAAGCAAAAGTACAACTTCCAATTACTTCAACTATCAACTCTTTGGTTCGCTACACCATAATCTCTTCAACATGGACAAACAGACAATCCAACCTAACAAAAATTTAGTATGCATTCAAACCTGAAAGACACCACATGTTCACATGAGCGTTAAAGCCAGCAACTAACCAGAGTAGCCTACTTTTCTTGTGTTACTCAAATCGTTTGATTGTAATGTTAGGAGGATAAACACTAAAATTTAATCAACTAAAAAAACATCTATTCTCTTGAAAATACTAAAGCCTCGACCCCAGGTTTTAATGAAAGGGAGGGAGGCACTAGTTATGCCTTGGGATAGAAGATTTTATTCATAGAAGATTCAGGATAAAAGGCGCACCTTTAAGGCATGGGAGAAACCAGATTGATACACTGAATTACGGGCAATCTCACATAAATCGCAAGAGCTCAATTTCCACACCTGTAGATGCAAAAAATTGTAAACATTGTAAGTATTGTTCGTTTGTATGCCATGCAAGGAGGGAGATAGAGAACTCAGTGTCTCACAGAAGAAGCTATGCTATATTCCTCAACCAATGGTTCTTTCGTTAAGTGAATTTGAAGTGGATCATCAGTAGAAAGTGAAACATTCAGACCCCGTGAGAAGAATGTTGGAAAGGGATTCCGATGGTAGTCTAAAAATAGGGAGTTATTACTCAAAGGAGACATAGCCAACCCAATCTGATAACAAAGAAAACACCACAACCAATCAGTTACTGCCAAAATGCAAAAACCCAAACCAAGTAATCGGTTGAAAAAAGGCCAAACCTGAGCTAGGTAATACAAGTACTGAAGCACAGGAGATTTCCTCAAATTAATTCCATGTGCAATGTTATGAGCAGTGAGGAAGGCTGCAGCTAGGTGGTCGATATCACCAGCCTGTATATAATATGATGATGTATCATATAATGTAGCCATGCAACACTGTCCAAACAAAGAAAATATACTAATAATTACCTCTCCACAATGAGGGCGGAATTTGATTGTTGTCATTCCCTTTGATTCACGAAGCTGAGAAATAAGCGTATCAGATCAATGGGTATACCAAAACTAAGTTATGAAAATCAATAAACGAGTTATCTTTTTTGGGGGGGGGGGGGGGGAGGGAATGCAAATGAGTCTGTGGTCACTTGAGTAGGGCGAGTAATATATTTAGTGGGAAAACCCTCAAACAAGAACTACTCAATCAGAAGAAACTGATAAATGAATGATATTAATGACAATATGCAATTATGCTTTATAACTACATTAATAGATATTAGGAAGGGAGCTATCCATTCTGATTTTTCTGTTTGTAATTCTTAGCCCCTTCTTATTTTTAACTGGGTGGTGGCCAGGAAGGAGTGAATAGCTGAACACTTAAAGATAGATACACATATATGAAAGTTGTTCGGGCGAAAAGTTACAGACCTTATTTAAGGTGTATAGATTTGCATAACAGTAGTACACATAGTACGAATATGCTGGATTAAAAGCATTGGTCCATTGAGCAGGTGTAGGCATGTGCTTAGTTGGTCGTCTTTCAGGCTTACTTTCATCATCAACCAAATCCAGCCCGACAACCTACAAGTGCAAGGGGAAAATGCAATTAAATAAATACATGGTCAAATGATGGATACTTCATTGTTCAAGGAAAAAACACAACCAATAAAACATAACAAAAGTCACAATTAACAATATCGCAAAGTCAGAAGTACTAATTCACTCATTTAGGATGCCTCATGTTAGTAGCACCAAGCAAAGCTAGCTGTGAAGTCAACTTGTCTAAAGCCATCATTGAAGCCATTCACTTTTTAGGATGTTTCATACGTTCACAGGTCATTCAACAATGAACAGAATCCTAGTGTCAGCCTTGACAATAAAACTACCATAAACTTATAACAAGTCATATTATATGTGAATGCTTTACCTTTTTCAAGAAAACATGCAACTGAGGATGGGAATCTGGGTCCACAGTAACTTCAAATAATGGAATAAAGATATTGTCAAGAATGTTCTGGAATGATGCCACTATACCCAGTTCTTTGTAGACATTATACAATCGTGGAAGCTGAAGGAAAAAAATTAAAAAGAACTAATGTCAATCACAAACACAACTGCTTAAGCAAATTGAGACAGATGGAAATTCCCGAACAGTTTAGGTGCAGAGCACTTAAGAGGAATATCAAGGGCATAAATTCAGACATAATGAAACATTGACCCTGAAAACTTCATACCAAATGGGTGCACCATGCCTATATGAATTACATGATGTGAAGTTGAAATCCATGATGCCAACATTATGGGCGCTGAAAAAGGAGAGATATTCATGCACAAAGAAAACATGACAATGCAAGCATTAAAGACCATCTGAATTGATAAATAGGGAATAATTCTACGGCATGATTTTGAAAGACAGACTGTTCAGAGATCGAAAATGTAGCAAGAGAATACCTGAATTAACCAAACAACATTCTCACTGTACAGCTCATTGTTCACTATCCAGCTTGCCAGTTGGTCCCACTCACTTTGCTTCCTACCATATATTGATATTCGATATTCGGCCATCTGTGAACAAATCAGGCACAGGAAGACATACAAGGGCAAAAATCTATGCCCATGTCAAAAGAAGTATTAAAAGAAAACCACAATCAAGAAATGAAAATTTGTTTACACACAATGGAAGTAATAATTGATTGCTTTTTTGGTCAGAAAAACAAAGGAGATTGCTTTTCCAGGAACCTTTTACTAGCATTCAAAAGTTTGAAAATGCGAGTAATTATGGCTGATCCACCCAATAGCCTGAACAGCTTCTAACCAAAGGATGATATCAAAACACAAACCAAACTCAAACAGAAACACCTACTCTTCAAAATGGTTTCATCAGCACTGACTGAAAATGAAGACTTAGGTAGAACATCTCTTTACAGAATACCACAAGTCTACAGAGAAATTAGGGCCCCACCATGACTAAGAAGAGCAGTTTTAAAAAACTACCTTCACATGCCTTTTATGGTAAGACAAATTGAAATCAAGAATTGAACATGCTTACAGAATGGGTGATGAGAAATTGAGGAATTTACTGTTGCAATATGTTAAAGGAGCAGATAACAACAAATTGAATGAGTTTATATTTTCAAAACAAATGTATAGCATGTAAGGATTCAAGAAAGAACCTGATATTTACAGGCATCAAGGTCAGAAAACACTTCTTTTGTCAGCTCAGCAAGGAAGCGACCTATTCAATGCAACAGAACAAAAAATCACATGAAAATAAAATATCCTTTCTTTTTAAAATAAGATGATCTAAATCATAATTCACATATACAATATATCAACATCCCAAGTGACAGTTGTAACATTTAGATAGCACCTATCATAAGTTACTCATCTATATGTCTTTGATCCATCCTCCACTATTTAATTAATCCACAGGTGGCAATCTTTTACCCCATATGTAAGATCAACCCTTATTGATATATGATATTTTCAAGCAATCTCACCCTCCTTCCAAACCAAACTATCCACATTGACCCAAGCCCCAACTTCTGTCTTTTAGTAAAACCTGGCATTTTATTTGTTTGAAAACTGAACAATACGATTCTGCACAAAACTAACAAAGGGGTATCCTCTTAAGCAAAATCATTACAGTTCTCTAATTATATAATCAGTATTTGCAGGTTACTATAAACAGTCTGTAAAATTCCAACTCATTTTGTCTTCAACAACAAGATTATGCTAACGTAGAGGATCATACAGAAGACACACAAGCCAGGAAAAGAACACATTTATATTGCAGAGAATGGCAAACTAGAATCCAAAAAGAATGTCTTCTGCATCTGAAACTACTAGGTTGTGGGTAGAGTTAATTAAGAATTTAACTTAATCCACGATCCAATGATATTTTACAAAACCCTTGTTTGAAGTAGAATCTTCAAATAGAAATCAATTATGTAAATAGATTCTCCAAAACTATAAAGTTTTCTACCACTGTAGTTCGAAGGAAACAATGGCATCCATTCTGTTAGAGAAGTTACCTTGAATCAAATTATCCTGCTTTAAGAATATCTCTCTAAGCCTACTTTGACCACACGGATTGTACTTCAGATTGAACTTGTCAAAGCGATGAAATGTACTCTTGTCTGCATGAACATCCAAAAGGTCCACGTTGAGGTCATGCCTGCTCAGACGAATATAAAAAGAGATTATATACTCCAAAATATAGCCAACAAAATTCAATTATTAGCAATAGCTATAGTTATAGTATTACCCAGTTAAATCAAGACTCTCAAAAACTTCTTTCAAGGTCAAATATGTCCCATCTCGAAATATGACAACCTGAATGAAGTTAGAATTTTTAATTTTATAAGGCTGCAGTGAATACTTTCTGTAATCAAAATTCAAAAGAGAATAACATAATGCATATCATATAAACTTCTGCATTTGATGGCAACCCTTTTGATGAAGCGTGCCCGCCCCCAATCAAAAAGTGTGGAGGTTGGCATCTACACATGCACACACAAAACAACAAAAAACAAAAAACAAAAGACAAAACAGAAAACAAAGAAATAAAACTGTTGTCAAATCTTAACAAAGGAAGAGTTTATGCAACATAAACAGCAAAAGTTCCTGCAAACTACAGAAATAAACTGATCACCTCATCTGGTTCTTTCCTCAACTTTGACTTTATAAACGTTAATAGATGTTTCTGGTTCATGCATGCTGAGTGATGTACATGTGTATCAACTTTCCTGACATTATAGAAGTCTCGATGTGGAGCACTTTTCTGGGCAAGAAACTCCCTATCCGCATTTAGCATCAAATGAAGCTTGAATTTCTGAATAGGTACAAACACATTTAAAAAAGAAGTCAGACAATCAGGCAATTAATTATTAGTAATTCAAATAACAGTGTAGACTGGTTATAATCATCAATCTATAGTCTAGACATATTTACTTGTTCTAGAAGATTAAGCCGATGATGGCATAAAGTTCTAGCATTTCCTGCTGCAATGACTCGAAGCATGTGATGAAGATCAGTGAAAAATGTAGTAGCGTCGGCAACAGGGAAAAGCTCTTCCTTTGCTGCAAAAATTAAGCAGATGTGCCTAAGGATCCAGCCAGAGTGGGTGTTCTCGAAAAAACAAAACAGAAATAAAGATAATATGAAGAATACCCTTACAGTCTCTACAAGGGTAAACATGAATAACCCCATCTTGCATTTCAAAGTAATGCTGCAGCATATCAGAATATATTAATGACAAAGGAGGGTAAATTGAGAGATCTTAGTCTTGACTAACGAAATACTTACAAAGAAAAGGATAACTCACATCAGACTTTCCTTCAGGAATGTAGAAGAATGGGTCTGGGTTAGGCTTCGGAGTACCAGGTTCAGATATAACTTCTTTCTCCCATGGAGCAATTGCCTCTTGGAACACATACCTTTTTCGCATTTCCAGGAATTCTTGAAGAATCACATATACTTCTGCTTCATCATGTGATGGAACCTCTAAATAGAAAACAGAAGAATTACAGTTTTCTAGATAACTCCCTAAACTTTCAATTACCTTCAGTGAAATTAAAATTTACTGAGGCCAAGAGAAACACATTGAAAACAATTAACTACATTCACAAAAAATGAACCAAAATTAATACCAATTGGAGTAATATTGAGTCGGGCAAAACTTTCATGCTCTGGCTCTTTTCTCAGAATGTCAGCCGCAATAGGGTGAGGCTGAATACCATGCAAATCACCAGAAACACTATGAGAACGGATCATACTTGAAGCAACAACAGACATTTGCTCTCCGTTAGCATTAACATTAAAACTCTCATATGGGTTTTCGCCCCCAGTGCCCTGCAAATAGGTAAAATTCTAATTCATTACCAGGGATCATTCAAACTTCTTTTTGGTACAAACCACTAAATCCTGGGATGAACAAAGTGCCACAAAAGAGTAAATGGAAAACACTAGTTTTAATTGCACGCCCATGGAAAGCGGCAAGGAGAGAAAGAGAGAGAGCTTTAATATGAATGCATACTTAAAGCCCATAAAAGACTTAAAGCATTCCCATTTGTGTGCAAATATCTAGTATCGACCTTAGCATTGTCAGTCACATTATCTTCGTCATCTGATGCTTCCCCACTTTCAAAGGCACTAGCGCTAGCAACAGGAGACCTGGGGGAAGTTGTTCTCAAAAGATTTTTCTTTCCGTCAACAGCATGCGCAGATTTTCCTGTAAAAGTACATTTAAGATTTTAGCAAATTACAAATATTGGGATTGACCCTTTAACCAGTGTGCCCTTGTGTTTACATGGATGACACATGAGCCAAAAGGGGAAATGCTGGAGAAAGATCACACTGCAGTAGTCTAATATACATATACACGCACACCTACATAAATATACAAATGTTTGACACAGTGACGGTCAAATGTAAATTCATCGTAATTGCTGGGGACTTCGTAAACGTTAATAAGTAAGAATTCAACAGAACATACAGATTCTTTTACACTGAGTAAGCAATGGAATTTAGAAACTGATAATTTGGATTCTCAGACTGTATCTTGACGTGCATAGGATATCAATACCTGGACCACAACTACCTGACCTTTTCTCACTTCTTTTCTTGTCATTACTATTTCTTGGGTGAGGAGCGAGGGTCGGGAGGGAAGACAAGCTTATACCAAAAAAAAATGAATATGCAATATCCATGGAAAAAAAATTAGCTTTTAAGTAACCCTCAGATTTATTAAAAATAAAATAAAATGGTTAATCAAGAAGAATGGTAATACTCTTCCCCAACAAAAATTGTTAAGCAAAAGGTTCGCTACATCATTCATAGCCATGTCCGTGCAGGCCACGCTTTTCACAGACAGTTAGGTGGAAACTGAGGTGATGTAGGTGAAACTATACATTTCACACTATCACTGTATGATTCGTCCTTTAACACCCAGTGTACCACAAATTGCTCCGAAATGCATCACCACATGATGACATCTTTACAAATTAATAATCCTAGATCATTCAGCCAAAGACTAGGAGATCTTGAAAAGAAATCGTCTATGATTATTTAAGAATAAATGAGGTTTCATTCCTAGTAATTTTAGATATAACTTGTATTTTCCAGTTACTTTATCCTTCTTTTTCTATCTCAACTAAATTACCATTCATATGTCATAGAAACTTATGAGCTCAAATCTGTGTCTCCAATTCCCTCAGTTATCAGGGAAAGAAGTTCGACGATAAGCACAATATAAATAGCGCTTCTGGATCTTCCAAGTTCCCTCAAATCAGCTTCGTTTTCCCCAGTTAGCAGTGAGATGGAGAAAATTCCAGCAAACAGCTTAAACAGGAATCCCTCTAGCACATACAATACATCAATCTCAAGTGTTGTTCTCATATTTCCC